TACTGTAGATTTGATCTAACCTGAGATGAGAACACTACTAGATGATTGTGAACAGTCTCTCTGCGTTATCCTTGTCTTCTTCCCTTTCTTTCTCTTCCTTTTCTGCCTTGATCTCCTTCTTCTCTTTGGAATCCCGTGGCCTCAAAGATCTGCCTCGTTGCTGCCTTTTTATAGCCTTAATCTGTCTCTAAAACGCAGCCACCACACCCCCCTAAACTTAATTAGGGTTAGGTTAAGAGAGGGTGTGGGCTGTGGGCTGATAAAGCCCACATGGGCTGAATATGGGCCATCAGCCCAACAAAGCCCACATAGGACGAGGAAGTTTACGGATTAATGGATCTATGCCAAGTTTGAAGAGATCCTCAAAGACAAAAACCAAAATAAGTTTCATTCAAAGTTTCGAAACTTTTAGTATATGCGAAGCATGAAAATAGATTACCAAATGATTTAATATACACTTGATATAACATGTGATCTACATAAGCCATAAACTGTTTCAATCAATCAATCAAGAGAGAACTCGAGCCAAAAGCGAACTGTTTACAGCTCGATGGACCACACGCCATATTTATCTCCAACGAACAGTGCACATTGTAGCTCTTCCATATGTGTCGAGAACACATACGGCTACTCATATAAGTGTTTGAGATGAGCGGTGGATGGTCACTGTCCGCGAGCAGCTTCGAGATGGTCGTCGTATTTGTGCTCTCTATGATAAGATGATGGCTACCGCTAAGAGATAGCCACAATTCCTTTCTGACCTCCAAATCCGTGGATAAGGGTCGCTACAGTGTCCGCTTGGTTTTGAATTCGATTACGGCCAACTCTGGGCTGAATTCAAATACAACGTGTTCGATTCATGCCGTGCAGTCCGAATCGAATTTATATTTCCCCTAAGATTAACTAACGCTGTCCATATGTGTTGTTCTACATGCGCATATACATGTCTCGAGGGCCCCAACGTTCTCGTAATGAAGCCTATATAAAGGACAGCCGTTCCCTCTTCTTGCAACCATCCAAGACATCCTTCTACAAAACTTGTCGCTCCCAATGGCCATGCTTTCAGCACATTTCTTCTCCCTGTTTCTCCTGTTGGTGGTCATGGGGGTTACCGGTAGTGGTGATCCGATACTATCATGTAGCCAAACACCTTACCCTCAGGTCTGCAGTTCAATGGTCAGCGGTGTCCCTCTCTTCGCGCAATCCGAAACCCAGTCAGGTTTTCGTGACCTACTCCTCCAGACCACCTTGGACCGCACCCTGCTCGCCCACAAGCATGCATCAGCCATGAACCTCGCGCCGCTCGATGAGCCGGCCAAGGCCGCGTGGGCTGATTGCTTGGAGCTGTTTGAGGACACCATCGGCCATCTCAACCGCTCCCTGGGACACTCTTCGTCTGCCGAAGATGCTCAAACGTGGCTGAGTGCCGCGATGGCTAACCAACAGACGTGCAAAAATGGCTTCGCCGAGCTGGGAACTTCGTTCCTCTTCACATCCTCACTTTTCATGGCCAACAACATATCGGAGTCGCTTAGCAACTCGCTTGCCGTCAACAACGCGATGCCACGGGGCAAGGCACCGGGCAATCGCCGTTTGCTCTCCCAGGGGTTCCCAGGGTGGGTGAAAGCGGCGGATCGCAAGCTTCTTCAGTCGTCGAGCTCGACGATAAAAGCCAATCTGGTAGTGGCTAAAGATGGTTCCGGCGACTACAAGACCATCTCAGAAGCTGTCGCGGCTTCTGCAAAGCTAAGGAGTGGAACGTCAAGGTTCGTGATCCTTGTGAAATCTGGTATATACAACGAGAACGTAGTGATCACCAACTCCATGAAGAACATAATGATGATTGGAGACGGAATGGATGCCACCGTAGTCACAGGTAGCAAGAACGTTCAAGATGGCTCCACAACGTTCCGCTCTGCTACTTTCGGTAAGAGTCTCTCTATTCTCTCATAAATGTCTCCATCAAATTATTATATCGAAGTTAATACTTTCATCCAATTACGCATCATGGTCGATATAGAAAGGCTTCAAATTAACGATTTGCTGTTTATAGAAGAAGATTGAATAATCTTCTACCGAAACTTCATGGTGTAACGCTCGTTCTCTACAAGTATGCCTCGATGACGCCTTTGTCTTACTGGTCGCAGCTGTCTCCGGTGGCGGTTTCATAGCACGGGACATGACCTTCCAGAACACGGCAGGACCCCAGAAACATCAGGCGGTCGCACTCCGTTCGGGGTCGGACCTCTCAGTGTTCTACCGCTGCAGCTTCAAAGGCTACCAAGACACTCTCTACGTGTACTCACAGCGACAATTCTACCGCAATTGTGACATATACGGCACCGTCGACTTCATCTTCGGCGACGCCGTCGTTGTATTCCAGAGCTGCAACATTTACGTGCGGAAGCCAATGAGCGGCCAGCAGAACACCGTCACTGCCCAAGGCCGAACCGACCACAACGAGAACACCGGCATATCGATTCATAATTCTATAGTGACTGCGGCATCGGACCTCAGGCCAGTGCAGGGCTCGTTCAAGACATATCTCGGCAGGCCGTGGCAGAAGTACTCCAGGACAGTTTTCATGAAGACATCGCTGGACAGCCTAATTAATCCGGCCGGGTGGCTGGAGTGGAGCGGGAGCTTTGGTTTGAGTACCTTGTATTATGCGGAGTACATGAACACGGGTGCAGGCGCTGACACCAGCAAGCGGGTGAATTGGCCAGGCTACCATGTCATAGCGAGTTCGTCAGAAGCCAGCAAATTCACCGTGGGAGGCTTCTTGTCCGGTGACTCGTGGATTCCGGCCACTGGGGTCCCTTTCAGTTTCGGCCTCTGATAGACACACCTTAAATTGTTCATTGAATGATTCGGCAAGTCAATATGTAAGAAGGTATACCTACCGATGTGTAGTCGTCTGTTCCTGGACAGGCATATAGCTTACTTTTTCTTAAGTCAAATTGTACTAGTTTTGGTTTTCACTGTAATTCTTAATGTAACCTTATTTAATGGAAGTGATTGGCTAGACTTAGATCTTTGAGCTACTATTCATCATTCAGCTCCCCATCATTATATGCAATTTGATCTGACAAATGCTGAAAATAAATCTACTGGGCCAATTGAATGGTTATGATGTGAAATAATGAGCGGAGATCTTACCCAATTTGCTAGGCTTCCACAGATTGGCAAATAGAGCCAAATTGCGTTCATTATTTGTTTCTAAAATTCCGTCGACTGTTTTCTATTACCGATCAGAGGAGTCTTGCATTGCTTGACATATTTGTAGATAGAAATAGTACAAAGAGATTTAAGAGTTCCACAAGATTCATAGCAGTCGAACCAATTGCAGAATATGAAGCGACGATCAAGTTGCTCTGCATTCGACGATCAAGCTGCTCGTCTATCCTTTCTAACTAAACTCGGCAGCTGCTCATCGCAAGATAATTTACTTTAGGTCTCATGTTTGACTCTTTTTCGTTTGGCCCATAAATAAACAATACAATAAATTTCTGATCCATGACAAAACTTGACGGGCTAATATTCAATCAGTTTATATGAATCACGGTAGACCCTGTTAAATTAGCCATGTTTAACATAGTTCATTTTGTACAAATGATCTAATTAGGAGACCAGATCGATTCAATTGGTGTCTTTCTTTTTTTGGTCAGCGGCAGTGATATTAAATAGATTGTTTGACTTTTCATGATGTTGATAAACTAGAATTCAATTGATGACCTATATATATATCAGGATAATTATATAGACTTGAACCTAACACACAAACTTGTATGCACAACATATTGTCCTGTTTGCGAACAACACTTCACACTATAGATAACAGTTTTAGCATTTCATCCAACCTTGGAACTTCTAAGAGCATTTTTTGAAAAGATAAATTCTTAGGGTGTTCAAAAAACAGCAGTAAACTAATAGAGTGTACAAT